GCTTCCAGCAAGCTAGACAGGTGCAAAGAACAAATAAGAAGACTCGAGCGCGATCAGAATTTGAGAGAACCCTAGACCCGTAAAGGTCAAGGCAAGGGTGGAGTGCCAGCGGGGGTGGGCTCGTGCAGGTCAGGGTGCGCGCCTGGGTGCTTCCAGCACCAACGCACCCCCTCACAGAGACACCCTTTCGACCCTAAACCCTAAAGCCCAAACCCTATAAACCCTAACCAATCCAGTGCGGGAATCATCTCAGTTTGGGAATTTGAGGCTGCAGCCTCGTGGGGAGTCCCCTTGCTGAGGCTGAAAAGAACGTTCGTAAGTTGGTATAAAAGGGGGTCAAGGTTTAGGGTTTAGGGGTCATCTGGGAATCATGTAGGGATATATGGGTATTATATACAGAGTTATTTCGGGGTTATCTATAAGGATACGTAGGGGTATATGGAAATACTTCGAAAGGCTTCTACAGGGGTTATATATGGATATGAAGGGATGTATATGGAAATCACGTAAGGATAGATGGGCATTATAAAGGGTCAAATAGGGATTATCCACGGATATGCGGGAGTATGTGGGAACAATGGAGAATCAAATTCAGAAGAACATGGCAACTGGGGTTATATAGGTAGAGAATTCTATGGGGATATATGATAGTTTCCATAAATGGGGGGGGACCGGAAATAGACCCCCAAGCATGGTAATCTTTATTCTAGGTAACCTCCACCTGGGGTTGTGCAAGCGGAAAAGCTAGTGAAGAGTGCATTATGTTTTCATATCCCCTACCTGCGGAAACGTCGTGGGTGAAAGAATGAAACTGCCAACCATGACCCCTAAACCCTAAACCCCAACCTGTTCAAACACTTCTCCTGGTCCCCTGGCCCCTTTTCTTTCAGAAAGACCACACCACCCGAGTTACCCAGGATGCCTCAGCCACAATGCTGAAGGGAAATCAGAAGGCAACACCATATAGTCCCCCTTAAGTAGATAGAATATGGGGTATATAGGGAACTTATTATAATATATCCAAAGCCATATTCAATCTACTTAAGGGGGACTATAGCTCCTGTGGATATCAGGGGGACAAGCTGTGTACAACTCTCGCATGAAAACGTTAAGGTCCACGGTCATCTCACGGCATCCCACCCTGTTTCTTTACTACACCTGGGCACCACAAACCCGAGACAAGCGTAATAGATCCTGAGCACCCCTGCGAACCCTTAATCAGGACCTTTCACGGCTAGGCCTCGCATACCCACCTATTCCTTATCTAGGTTCCCCAGTAACCCCTTAAAAATGAGGGTACCAATTTTTCCCACTATTCAGCTTTAATTAGGAGACCCCCAAATAGAAGGGTAAAAGAATACTACTGGTGTACCTAGTTGTGAGGGTACTTTGAACACATACTTTCTTTATTGGGCTTTAGCCCTCAACCCTAAACTCTAAACCCTATACCCTAAACCCTGAACTCTAAACGATGACCCTGCAAGCCTCGACGGAGTTGAGGATCCGAGTCCCATCGAACCCTGCAATCCATGCAGCCGCTGTTTGGTGCCAGGTTCTTAAGATTCAAGGTTTAGGGTTTAGGGTTTAGGGTTTAGGGTTGCGCGGTTTAAGGCTTAGGTTTTACAGGTTTAGAGCTTATGCCTTTGGGACTTTCTCTCTGGAACATTTTCAACCCTAAGCCCTAAACCCCAAACCCTAAACCCTTTAACACATTGGTGCAGAGCGAGGGCCTGGGGGGCTCAAGGATTGAGGAGCTCGCGGAACCCTACCTGCAACCCCAATTCGGGTTGTAGCGGATAGTAACGGGCACATATAACCAAAGGGATACCTAGGAAGAGAGAGAGAGATGTATATATATATATAGATACATATACTCCCATATATGAATATATGTGTGTGCTTAATGTATTCATTCTTTAGGGCTAAGGGCTTGTAACCCCAATTTCCTGGCATGTAGTAGTAAGTACCCCTCCCACAATAGGTATAACCTATAACACTGTAAACCCTAAAGCCTAGCCCCTAAGCCCCAAACCCTTAGACCTTTTTTGATGCTCGGACTGATGGGCACCCCGCCAGTTCGTACTCTCGCCAAGTGAGCTCTAAACCCTAAACCGCAAACCCTAAACCCTGTGGGCTGTTTTTAGGGATCCTAGAGATGCCACCGGGAGCATCCCATGTGCAGGAGCCTAAACAGGGATCATACAACGGTATAGGGTTGAGGGGCCTGAAAAGGAATTATACAGGGGTATACGGTATATATATATAGGGGAATGGAAAAGAAAATGGAAATATATTGTCAAGGCTCCGGGCTCAGAGGATATTACCCCAGTACTGGAGAACCAACGGAAAAATCAACTGGGTAATGCCATGCAAGTCGGGACTATATGAGCTATACTCGAGACTCCTTAAGGGGGGGGGTTATATTATTGGGGATTGTACAGGGGAATGCAACAGGGGATCTTGCGGGGATACTTGCTTGCTCCAACAAAGACATGCATATCATTCTCCCAGCCCACAGAACGCCTATGCATCAAAAGCTCACCAGGTAAATGCAATTTCTAACCTCAAATCAATCAACCCTAGAATCTACAGCATAAACCGTAAAGGCCGAAAGCCCCAGGCAGATCTGTAACCCCCATTACTCTTGTACCTACCCAACCTGGGGGGGGGGTAAGTACTACCACGCCCCAAATACTTATGTTCCAACCCCGAAAAACCTCAAACCGCAAATTTATAATCCTATCCACCCCCACAGAATCCATATGTAACCCCTGTATACCTCCTACAGGCCAAGGCCTCCCAAAGCGTAGACCCGGCCCTCCAACTCGCAGCTCCCACAGTTCCGACGTGGGAATCGCATTGCGGAGCCCGCCTGCAGGTCAGGGGGTTGGAGGGTGCACCTGTAACCCCAATGAATTTCAGTTTTCAGGGTCATGCCTGTGAAGGGGGGGGGGGGGTAATTACTACATATTACTGCCAAACTGTGGGTACTTGCAGGTGCTTAGGGTTAGAGGTATGGATTGAGAGTTTAAAGTTTAGGGTTAAGGGTCAGCTGTGAGACTGCTCATGGGGGATGATGGCAAGATGAGCTGGCAATAGGAATGCCCTAATCAGAGGGAACGCGTGGGGCGCGTAAGATCTATCGTAGTTTCCATTTTCTTTTCCATTGTCCCAGTATATCCTCAACATAGTATAGTATTTTCCATTTCCTTTTCCAATCCCCAATATACTATAGTAATCTCCATTTTCTCTTCCATTATCCCAATATATCCCCTCTATACTATAGTCGTTTCCATTTGCTTTTCCCTTATCCCATTATATCCCCAATTTAACCCTAATCTAAATTTGAACTTCCGTCGGCCCAGCTGATGTAGACTCGACCCATTGAGAAAGAGCGCCATGCTACAGGCCGACCTGTGTTGCTTTCTAGGTATCGTCCCCCTTTAAGTAGATGGAATACAAGGTTTACGGTTATAGTCCCCCTTAAGTAGATAGAATATGGGGGGGTTATATTGGGATAATGGAAAAGAAAATGGAGACTACTATTTAGGGTTTAGGGTTAAGGAGATAGAACATGGCTTTGGGTACATTGAAATAAGATCCCCATAGACCCCATAGTGTATCTACCTAACAGGGGACTATATCCCTAAACCCCAAACCCTAAACCCTAAATAGTAGTTTCCATTTTTCCAGTATCCCATATACCCCTACACCCTACGTAGTCTGTTGGCATCGAACTTCTGATGCCGCAACGGACCCCGGCCTGCCTACATCTGCCTGTTGTGGCCTCTTGACCACCAAGTAAACTAGACGCTGAAGATGACGACGCAAAACGCAGGCTTAGGGTTTTAGGGGGGGTGTGGTATATTGGGGTTATATAGGGATAATGGAAAATGAAATGGAAACTACTATTTAGGGTTTAGGTTTTAGGGATTTCATAAGTGCCAGGCCCTACCACCCTTCCATAAGGTCCGGGTGGCTGGGCGGGGCTTCAAAGATCGGCTGCTGCCGCAGTCAAGAACAAGAGCCAGGGCTTGGGTTTAGGCTTTAGCGTTAAAGGGACTTGTACTTTGGATACTCCCCCCGACCAGTAACAGCTGGATAGCAAGTATAGTATGAGCAAGGTTTCGTATTTAGTGAAACGTATAAAACCCTTACTAAAACCCCTGCGATGGAGACTTACTTTGCAGTTTGGGGTTGAGGGGAAGTTTTACTCCGCGGTGACAACACGCACATCATCATTACGGGAATTTCTAACCCTTCCTTTTGCCCCTACTATGGAGACTTACTTTGCAACTGAAGTCGGAGAAATAAGCGAGCTGGCCGCAGTGGCATGTTTGATCTTGCTTGTGTCTGCGTTCTGAGGATCATGAAGGCTTTCGGGGGCTCCAAAAATTGGGGGTTCTTGTTTTTGGCGGGTCCTCAGAATAAGGTTTATATCATTTGGGGGGCCTATGTCGGGGTCCCAACAGTTATGAGAAAGTTATCATTAAGAAAAGGCTTGCTTGAGGATGCGGTTCCTGGGCTTACACATGCAACTAACCAGGGTGTACCTGCAACCCCAATGACCTACAGCTTGGTAGTACTTACTCTCTAATACACGTATTACTGCCTAAATCCTAAACCTGAAATGTTAAACCGCAAGTGGACTGCGATAAAGGGTCCCTTGCAAACGTGTAGTGCAAAGGCTGGGGATGTTTAAGGGGTTTGGGGTTTGGACTCTAGGGTTTGGGGGTTTAGGGGTGGAGCGCGGATGGGAACTTGAGAATGCTACCGCGCCAGCAGGTGCGACAAGGTGTGGCAGAGGAAGCAGAACCCAAAATCCGATATTTTCCTATATTCCCCTATATCCCCCTAAATCCACTTTGTTAACCTAGTCAGGACCGGAATCCCGGTAAATGAAGCTTCTGTCCCAAGCGCGAAGTGGCTGTACCTAGCCTACCTACCTAGCCAATGATGCCTCCCAGGTATCTCGGAGGCAGTCGTAAATCTCGACGTCGCACAGCGCCTTCGATCAGATGAGACACTCAAAGACAGGAAAGGACACAACAAGGAAAGCTAGGTCTCACCCATTAAAGTCCATTGGTCTTCAGATGTTGCTAATCTTTCGTGCGCAGTCTGCCCGTCCCTCAGAGAACATACCGACGAAAATCAGCATAGCCAAAGGATGAGGCTGGGATAAGTTCTCCTACGAAGTTGCATCCCAGCAGCACATTTAAAGCAATGCAAACTTGGAGGGGGGCTCCCGAGAACAAAACCCACCTGCAGGAACGTGGTAGCCCTATGTCTGCAACCACTGCTTGTAACCAAGTAATGGAGAACAATATGGGACAACTACAACATGAAATGCAATCTGGGATTGTAAAGGGACTATATGTAAATCATCATGTGACTGATATAAACCCCAAGCCCCTACAAGAGAAGACATGAGTCTTCACATGCCGATCATCACGCGACACATTCAGCTTCGGGTAAGGAGTTTTGACTATAACTCACATACTCCACCTCATAAATATATCTTCCCCCGCTATATAGCGGGACCATGTGTGGACGGGCTCATTACCAGTGGGCAGCTACTACCGACCTTGGCCACCAGCCTAAGTAAGCGCAATGGGGGGATTGCCACGTGTACACGAGGTGTGGCATAAAGGCTGTCTCACAAGCCTCTGAGTCATTCTTCAGATTATTCAATACTGGAGATTTCTGCACGCTATGGCCTTGTAGTCTAAATTTTGGCCGCCGAAGACATGCAGGCGGTTTCGCAAGGTCGCTGCTCCAAAGTAGGTTCGCTCCTTAGGAGTTTGCGATCAGGGCAAGAGCTTCCGAATCAGGGTCAACTTCCACGGGTTCCCTTACCAGACCGCCCTAGAATGCCATACTACCCCACGCTGCGTTCGCCATCAGCCTCAATTTAAGGCTAATAATACTTAAGCAAACCTGAAAACGGTGACCCTGAAAAGGAAGCACAAGGGTGGGGTAGAGGCACGCTACGTAGGTGGACACTAAAAATCCTGCATGACCCTGAGTACCTTATAAAATGGGGATTATGGTACTACACTATATTAAAGTCATGCAGGGTTTTTAGTCTCAACAGTAGATCTAATCTGGGTTTCAAGGCGAGGTTACAGGCACAGTCTTGTTACAAACCGGCAAACCGTGCTTCATGGATATGTATTCTCAGGGAGTTTTCCTTTGGACCCTTAGGGTTTGTACCCTTGGGTTTTGGGTCCCTCAACCATGGAATATGTCCCTCAATAAGGGTATTTGGGACCCAAAACTTAGGGGTACAAACATTAAGGGTACAAACTTAAAGTCTTTGATATTAGGTGGACCTCCACCCTGTAAAAGTGGTAGTGTCGGAATATAATACAGTTACTAGCATCCCTTACGATCACTATTACTGGGATAGAAGAGGACTCTAATATTGATACTGGTATCCTTTATAGTCACTATTACTGAGTGGGGAGTCCACCTGAAGTATAAGCTGCGCATCCCAAATTCGAAGCCTGAAAGGGGCACAGTCCTTATTGGTTCTTAGTGGGGAAGAAGAGAATATTGGGATTATGTAGGGATTGCATTCCCTTATTCCTTACTACGAACCGGTAAGTATCTTGGTTGCAATTGCAACCTGGGCGTGGCGAGGCAGCCCTGAAACGTAGCGTTTATCAAAACCTCACCCAACGACAATCTCAAATCAAGCAAAACACCTGCTTAGATCCCCACAGGGTCCCGAAATTCCCCAGGACAACCCCGAGACCCCTACCCTACTCGAAACCATGTCCTATTTCCAGCAAAAACCTCAGCTGGAAAGAGCAAGTTTGCTAAGGCTCTGTTGCCATAGCCCTGCAGGGACGCCAACATTGATTTCCGACATCTAGCACCTCTCAAGGGTATAGCGCCTATAGGGCCTAGGCCTAGGGTCCAGGGTTCCGGGTATAGGGTCAAGGCTAGTGCATTTGGCTTAACTTTTTGTGGGACATGTTTCGGCTGCTACGGTACCTGATATATCGTGCCTCTCTATGTAACCCTAAACCCTAAACCCTTCAAAAACTATGGCAGTTTCGGCGTGGGTGCTACACTCTGCAAGCCCAAATCCGGGCTCCCGCGGATGACCCACCTGTAACCCCAATGAAATTATCTACAGCCCATTCCGTAGAGTTTAGGGTTTAGGGTTTATGGTTTAGTTTAGTAAGGTCCCCTTAGAAGTAGATATGACATAGCTCCTCAGACTTTAGGCATTAGGGGTTGCAGGGGCAAACCAAATCTACTGAGCAAGGAAGGAAGGGAATGGGAGAGCTGAACTCATCTTGGTGGACGCGTGGCTATAGACAAAATGTGTGGAAGCCGTATTGCAAATTTTGCGGACAGGTATGGTCATGTCAGTACTTTTCCCCAAATCAAGCGAAGAATCCTTCCCCACGGTGGATCCTCAGTAACGTAGGAAGACAAAGAGGCCCCTTTTTTTGTGTTTAGTATAACCTGGCTTTATAACCAACCCCGACCCCCCCCATCCCCGCAAACGAAAAAGGCGCCTACTGCACAACCCAGGTTCAGGGCGTAGGGTGCAAGATAGGTTTATTGTAAGTAGGGTTTGGTGGGGAGTCTTCATGTAGGCGAAGCATTCCACATATCACCTCACCCATAACCTTCTGGGTTTCCTCGGTGTTGGACAGATATGGAGTGCTCCACGGAGCACTTGATGTAGCATGTCGTAGCATGAGAAGGGGCATCCAAGAGCATAGGCTCATTGGCAGGTTACAAAACCTTATGTCAATGCTACGTTGCCTCCCTGGCCCTAAGCCCAAGATAGTCATCTTGATTTCAGCAAATAGAACTTCCATTTTCCCATATTTCCAATATAACCCAAGTATTATCACAATGGGTACCTAAACCCCCAATTAATCATCCAAACCCAAACCAAAAAGAGGAAAGGCCTAATGTTGGGTACTGCCCCCCCTCAGTAACAGTTGGATAATATTTATAGTATGGTTATATATAGCGCTTAATAGGACCCCTAATATAGACTGTTACTGGGTAGGGGCAGTTCCCAAGCCTGATGTCATGTCATGACAGTGTTCTTGCTTTGGTCGAAAGCTCCAGGCACGACTCGCTACGAAGGTTTAGGGTTTAGGGTTGAGGGTTTAGGGTCCTGAGCTTCTACCTTTGGTAGGTCGTGAAGGCTTGGGGGGGGTGACTTTTGGGCTTCCTTATACTACGAGGCTATACCCCCCTTCAAAACAAAAGTCCAAAAGATCAGCACCCTGTTGAAGGACTAAGACCCCTAAACCTTAAACCCTAAAGCCAAAAAACAAACTTTACCCCAAACCTAAACCCTAAACCCTAAACCCTAACTTTACCCCAAACCTAAACTCCCAAAGCCTAGGCCTAAAATTCGCCACCTCCATGGCCCTAAGGTGTTCGTAGCCATTGTGGCCACCCGCCGCGAAGACTAACCTGGGGTTTCGGGCTATGGGTTTCTTGGGATCTTACCTGTAACCCCGATAACCTATAACTTTATGGATTTAAAGGTAAGAACTACTAAGCTGGTTACAGGCAGTGCAACTGTTTCAGGAAGAAGGTCTTGGGATGGTAGCTGGGCAGCTTTCAGCCAGCCTACAGGAGATATCAACCATGTAAGTATACATCCGGAAATGTAATGTTCTATCCAAGTATCCACAACGCCCAACATCCCTTGAGTTGGGAACATACCGAAATTGATACTAGGATCCCTCATATGATTGAAGGTATCTTCCCCCATCAAAAATTGGTAGTGGGCTTTCTGGGTATACAGGGGTATATGGGGATATGCACAGGTGCGACATCGGAGATGCCAACAGAAAGGGCCCCGTCCCGCGGGTTTAAGGCTATTGGTTGGATGCTAAACGCTCCAAGCCCGAAATCCTAAACCAGAAACCCTAAACCCTCCACGTACCCCAAGATAACGCCGCTATGCAGTGGTGGGGCATATTCATGATTCTGGAAGTGGGCAGCGAGGAGTTTCATCACAAGGGTGTATCGTCCCCCTGAAGTAGATAGAATATGGGGTGTATGGGGATCTTATATATATATATACCCAAAGCCATATTCAATCTACTTAAGGTGGGCTATAGGGATTAATGACCCCAGGACTCCAACAACATAGGCGACATTTTTGTCATTTCCCATGTCTTCTGCGACTCAAGAAGTTGGACAGAACTGGACTACAAAGATCCCCTACAGTACCTGATCTGGGTTGCTGTTTGTTGAGGAAGTTGAATTAAGTTAGGATTTTGGAAACCACCGTATTTTCTAAATATCTGTATCATGGTAATTTAGCTTGAGCCTTTGCACGGCAACCCAGTACATATGTGCATCGCAAGCCAGGGACCTTCCCCTTCTGGTGGCTTGCACAAGCGGCGACTGCGGATGGGTAGCTTAGGCACAAGCTCTCTCATAGCCCTTCTATACGAGTTTATTGAAGCTTCCAGAAACTTGCGGGTTCTTCTTCTAGGTCCTTCTGGCTGGTAGCAACTTCTAGGGCTTCCCAAGCCCTAAACCCTTACACCAAAGGTTCGCGTATAGGAGGACTTGAAATGGAGGCGAAGTCTAATTCAAAACGCCTACCTGGGTTAAGGGTTTAGGGTTATCCCTAAACCCTACACCCTCAACCGGGTTATGTCTATCCTAAGCCTGAGGTTCGGCTCTAGGAAGTAAATATTGCTAGCCAAATGTTAACCACAGTAGTAAGAATAGTAGCAACATACGAACAGCAATATCCGTTAAACAAGTAATACTAGTCATGATAAAGATAATAGGCTTGTTCCTGGTAAGTTGATATTTCTGGAGAAATGCATTTACGTCAAACTTGTTAGGATTCTGGTGCCGTGTATGCTTTCTTCCTCACTGAAGGTGCCTTGGGCTCTCTGGCAACACACACATACAAAAACTAGCCACCAACCTGTGTGGTTTTATTCAGGATGGAATCAGATGCCTAAACCCCAAACCCTAAACCCTCATGACCTAACCGCCAGTGTTGACCTGGAAGGGCATCTAGAGCTAAGGCCTGAAACTCGATACCTTGTTCCCCCAACAACCTGTTCAGTCATTTGGCTTAGGGTTTAGGGTTTAGACCGAACAGCAAACCGCATGGACCTGAAGCTCAGACAAGGAGCGGGAAGGGGAAAAAGTGTACGCCATAGTAGGTCGCCTCCTGGAAGGCAACATCTTGATGATTGCCAACCCCTTGCCCATGAATTTCAAAAATCCTAAGCCCCAAATCCCATATAGCCCTATATACCCTATATAACCCCTTTAAAGGGACCCTGATTTGCTCAACTTTTTGTCTCATACCTTCGTCTGGGATGCGCGCTCACTTGTTCCAAATTTAAGGCTCAGGTCCGGCTGATCGCTCGCTAAGCCGGCAAACCCGACCTGTTTGTAAGAAAAAGTCAGTTTAGTCCACAGCCCTCGGGTTCTGACTCCCCCACCCCGAATTAAATCATGGAGGCGAGCTTTCATTCTGCGCCAAATCGGTGGTTCCACAATCTTTGCTGCTCTTCATCTTCCTAGATGCTCCTTCCCTCATATGTCGCGCTTCCGTCTCCAACCCCCGATGAGCAATATCCTCCAAAGTGCACCCAACGGGAAACTACGACAGCGACAACGATATGGCTCAGGGATTAATGTCATTCTTCTCTAAACGTATGTATATATATATATATACATATGTCAAGAGGGCTCTCAAAACAATCGGGGGACAGGGGGGTAAACGCTCTTGCATACTTAGAGATCCACACTGCCAAGGAAATGAAATCAAGAGCTTCTGTAACGTTCCATTATTGTTCAAGCCAAGTAAGATCAACTAAGATCATACAGCCAGAAGGAGAAGCCAAAGTCCTTTCTCGCTAAACGCTTTTTAGGGTTTAGGTTAGGTGGACCCCCTACCCAGTAATAGTGACTATAAGGGATAATAGGGATTATATTAGGGTCCTCTTATTTTCTTATTATACCACTAGTACAGGGTGGGGGGGTCCTCCTAAGGTTTAGGGTTCAGGGACCTCTTGACCCCTTTCCCAAAGCTTCGGTACTATGGGGGCTCCCTCAAGACAGTCATCCCAGAAATGCCGTGGACATATGGCAAGATGAGGAGATTCTGCGCTGTCTCAACTATAGGGTCATATAGGGACTTTATTGAGAAACTCCTATATATATATATACATATCTCTCTCTCTCTCTCTCTCTTCTTCTTCTTCTTCTCACTGCTCTACCCCCTTCCGAAGAAGAGGGCTGGGGCAATGCCCCAAGCAGGGCAGAATCTGCGGTGGTCTCGACTATCACCGGACCCGGCTACCGAACATTCAGGGGCCACGCAGACAGCACAAGTAGGATAAAGCCTCTCTCTCTCTCTCTCTTGTCTGTATCTATATATATATATCTATATACCTATATCTATATCTATATATATATATGTATATATATTTTTGAAGCCCACAATCCCCCATAACCCCCCCAAAACCCCAAAACCATGATCGGAGCTAGGAGATGGCCTGGATCAGAGCTTCTGACTCAGCGGAGTCCCGAGGCATGGGAGGGGTCTGCCTGGGCTCAAGAAATCATGTATAGTAGCTTCCATTTTCTTTTCCATTCCTAATCCTTCTGGTATACTAATCCCCCTTGATTTAGGGTTTCATGGTTTCCATTTTCTCTTCCACTCCTCACCAATTCAGCCTGGTTCAAGGTTTTGGGTTTAGTAGTTTCCGTTTTCTTTTCCAGTCCTTACTAAGTCTGCCTGGTTTAATATTTAGGGTTTAGCAGTCTCCATTTTCTTTTCCGTTCCTTACCTACTAATTCCCCGTGGTTTAAGGCTATGGGCTGAGTCTCTTTGCCATTGCTTCCAAAGTCCCCCCTGGCCCTGCAGGAACACCTCAACAGCTAATGGCTTGGTAGGACCGCAGCATCATCGACTTGCTGAGAATCCATGGCACCCCAATGCGTCCTCATGTGGAGATACCCTATGCGGCACACCTTGAATCTCTGTAGCATAGTGCTGGCATGCAGCAACTACATGTCTGCTTCACTCCTACCAACGCCCAACGCCCAAAACCCATTTTCATGTAGCCGAAGCTCTGGTTACAATCTGTCATGCTTTTGCGAAACTCTCAGCCACCTTTATCAGATCCATGTTGCCCGTGGGGGCTTCGTTCGGGTTTAGGGTTTAAGGGTTTAAGGGCTTCCGGTTTAAGTGTTTCGGGTTTGAGGGTTTAAGATTTAAGGGTTTAGGTAAAAACGCCCGTGTAGCAAGGCTTGCTGAATCGAGAAAAATAAAGCCACAGTTTGATACCTCAAACCCGAACTTCCAACACATCCCATGCGCAATGTGTTCCTTATTCTGCCCTAGGCCCTAACCACAAGACACCAGATCCCATACGATGATGGTTCTTGAGTGATGCAATTTAGATTCCCCAGCAACCCCTTAATAATGCGGGTGCCTTTTCCTAATGTTCAGCCTTTTAAAGATGAGGAGACCCCAAAATAGAAAGGGTACTACTGGGTCCTAGAAACCCTGACGCCAAACCCTCAGGTACCTAGGCAAGTTGCGGGTTGCGCAAGAAGTTGAGGATTGTCCTGAAATGTTCCGGATCGCCTCAGGCCATTGTCAGAGTTCAGCAACTTATATGACATCATAGAAGTACCTTTGAAGGGGATAATAGAATTGTATAGGGGGTCAGTAAAAAATATGTAGGATTTAGGGCTCAGGGTTTAGGGTTTCATAGTTGGAGGGCTTCCCAAAATTGCGAGTACCTTCTGGGGGGTATCTGTAACAAGGAATATATTTTCCTGGGTTTCCATTGGGGTCCCTCTATCTATGGAAATTAGAATACAGAGTCGAGGGTTCAGGGTTTTGCAGGTCATAGCATGGTTTAGAAGGTGTAAGGTTCAGTATGAGGCACGTGAGGACCTGCTCAACCCAAAGCCCTAAACTCTCTAAAGACCGAGACCCCTGAACACTGAAGAGCCACGCAGCAAGATCTCGCCACAAATCGTAGGTATTGGAACTCCCCCGTGAAATTCCAGCATGATGTCTTACTTACAAGATCTAACTGTAATCCCCAAGCACTGAACCCAAAAAAATACCTGTTTGAAATTTCGAAGGTTGCGTACTTTGAAGGTTGAACCTTCGTGACAGTCCTAGTCATTATAAAATAGAAGGATGGATAAACGTGAAAAAAGTACACCTTAAGCTAGAAAGCCATCCATTCAGCAAGCTAGCTCAACAAGGCAATTAGAATGAAGGAATGGATGATTGTAGTAGTCCCTATATAACCCATTATAGCAGTTTCCATTTTCTTTTCCATTCCTTCTAAACCCTATATAAGCCCTAGTATTTTTAGAGCTTTTGTCTTGAAGAGCCTACGCTCCGCGGCTTATGTAGGCTTCCAAAGCACTAGCACCTGTTAACACCAACTCCCCATGATAGCAAGGAAAGGCTGAGAAAGTCGCCACCTACAGTACCCTGCGTGCTTAGGGTTGATGGTTTCATTAGGGTTTAGAGCTTAATTTGGATTAGGGCTTAGGGTTTAGCCAGGGTTTAGGGTTTGATTAGGGTTGAGGGTTTAGGGTGAGAAAAGCCTCTACTGGCTTTGACAAGTAACTACAGGAGGAAGGCTTCCAATGAATTGGGGGTGGTATTGCAGGGGTAAATGCGGACCATGGGGAGTTATACGAAGGTATATAATATGGCTTGTGCAGGGCCCATACATGGCGATTGCCCTCCTGTACTAGCCTGAGATAAATTGAAACCCAGAAGAAGAAAACCAGCCCATGAAAAAACCTGCCCGTGACACGAACAAAGCGTCTGGCTGCCTGAGTAGGGTAGAGCGTGGTAGGTTTCGTCTACTGGCTAAATTTGGCACCGGAAATTTTCAGGCCTCAACCAAAGGACACGAACAACAATGACCTTGCAAAGCCACTCGGTATCCAACACCGTCCACATGACATGAACGGTTAGACTGCTACCACCAACTTCTCCCGTCTAACAACGAGAAGGATGACCGAAGTAACCGCAACAAAGCGTCAGTTGGGATGCTTGGCACATAGCTGCCCCGCCAAAGGATTCTTCTTGCAAACAAGCATCGGTTTAAGAAGATCCGACCGTAGCCTGCAATCGGAGGTTGAAGAAGAGTTTTGAACCCAGAAACCACTCGCAGGGTTTGCGAAGGCTTGAACATGTGCTGGGTTTTGCAGACCTATAATGTACTAATATACCATAATGTACTATAACATACCCAGGATAAATCTAAAACAACTTGGGATCTAGCACATTCACTTTCTGCCTGGTGCGATGCAATTGGTTCCAAGTTCCAGGTGCCCAGAGGCAAAGTCTATCAAGGCAGAGTCAAATGTTGCTTGAGAAAGGCCAGTAAATAATCTCTGGACTGGAGGCCGTCCCAAACCCGACCATGATCCCTATGTAACATATGATATACCGGAAGAATTCAATTTGCATAGGGCCCCTGAATCTATCCCGGCTGCTAAGGGCCCTTGCGGCATGCTGCAATTCATTGACTCTCAAGTTGGGGAGCAGCTCTGCGGGGGATTCCCTACCTTCCCCACCAAAAGAAATCGGGTTCAAGGCTTAGGGCTTGCAACATACTTGGCATATTTGTCCCAGGAATGGCCCAGAACAAGAGCTTCCGGTTGCCCTTTAATGGGTTTTTATGGTTATCTAGGGTTATATGGAAATAATGTTATTGGGATAATGGAAAATCAAATGGAAACTACTATAGTGGAGAATCAAATGGAAAAGAAATTGGAAAATGAAATGGAAACTAGGGAATATATATCATCCGAATTCGGCGAGGATGTCTTGCCACTTGCTTCGGTCCAATGTCTGGGCACGGGACAGGACGCCCCAAAACCGCCTGGAATAATCGCGCTTCCCAGAAAGCCAGGCGATCTATTAGGGTCCAGTGCTTTCCTAAAGTCAGGGGTGCTTTTGGGGGTCCCTATAATAAGGATTATAGGTATTCTGCGGCCCATATTGGGGTCCCCCTATTTAAGGCAACTACCATCTGATCTCCAAGCAGAAAACTACGGCCCTCAGGACGATGCAACACCAACCTCTTCCTGCTTGCTACTACGATGCAAATACCTTGGGTACTGCCCCCCCGCAGTAACAGTCCATATTAGGGGTCCTATTAAGGGCTATATATAACCATATTATATTTATTATCCAACTGTTAGTGAGGGGGCAGTACCCAACAAATACCTCCTGCTTCTTATAAGAGCTCTCGCTCGCATGATTGTAAACAAGAAGCTGCAGAAGGATATGCAGGCTCTATGCTGTTGGAGAACGCCCCTAAAAGCAATAAATGATTGCCGAAAGGCGGTCGCGGCTAATCTGATACCGTCCGGACAACAGGGTTTCGAGAAAGCTGCCTTGCTGCCTTGGCACGACTAAAGAGGTACCAGTATGGGCTATTAGACCCTAAAATTCCCTATTAGGACCCTATTAAGGGTAGATTAAGGTACCCTGCAGGTCTAATAGCCCATAGTGGTAGGGGACGGAACAAGATCGAGACGGGACATTCAGCGTCTTTTGGTTGTTTGGGGGGTAATCTAGAGTGTACAACTTAGGGTGTCAAGGGATGTTTATGAGAGCCCTGCAAGGGTTGAAGATGTTAAGGCTTAGGAGCGTCCGGTGCTTTTACAAAGTCTAGGTTGAAATGTGGAAAGTTCAGGCCTCAGAAAACGCTTCAAGGATTATACCCGGTCTGGTTAAGGCTTGAAGGTGTTTGAGACATGGTAGTTTCCCAAAATAGGGGAACCCCAATATAGACACCAAAATACTATAGTCCTTATTATGGGGACCCCCAATAAGGGTACCCCTAATTTTGGGAAACCCCCACATGGTGCTGGTTTCAATGATACGGCTTGGACTCCTGGGGCAACCAAGTGAAATGTACGCGGTCGCTTGTTGTGCTTCAGGCGCTGTGTGCCGCACAGTTGCATAAACGAGCTGGTGACTGCACTGGGCCAAACACCTACCTAGACTGGGTTGCTGTTAAGGAACTTAATTTAAGTTACTATATTGGGGGAACCATATTAATTACTATATATATATACCCACAATGGTAACTTAATTTAAGTCCCTTAACAGCAACCCAGTAGAGCACCTATGAGCCTCGATATAGAAGGCCAATGTACAGTATGGTACCCCAATAATGGAGAATCAAATGGAAATGAAAATGGAAAATGAAATGGAAACTGGGGTTATACAGGCGTTATATTGGGGATATAGTATTCTTATTAGGGGCTTGAAAGGTCTCTGAGTGCATTCTCTCCAGACAGATCTTGATGAGACTGATCCTGGCCTATCGTTGCCCCTGTGACGCCAGCATACGCCAGCATTCTGAGGCCCCCAAACCTTTGATCACCAGGTAGTAGAACAAGAGTTCCCACCTTATCATTCAGGACACTCTTACCCGGCCCCTGAAGTTCCGTGAGGACCTTCTGCAAAGTGCGAGGTGCTGGACCAACGTGGACCGTGTCGTCTCAAAGATCGTACCTCAAGGCTTCTGTTTCAGCAGCATACCCAGGGGAGCAGCGGGATCACTCCATTCATGCCACGAGTAATTTCCAAAATCCAGGTTGCATCAAAAAGTTGTAGAGGTACCAAGAAGGGCCAAGTGGTTCAATGATAGCTCATGGCGGAAGCCTATGTGCTATAGAAAGCTTTTCCTGATCAAAAGGCGTCGCCTTGGATAGTGCATAGTGCTCCCCACGCACACACAGGCGACCAGGGACTTGTTTGTCGTAGCGGAGTGCTAACACATAATTTGATGTTCAGCAAGTGGAATACTTGGGAGGAAGGGGTGTTGAAAAAGGCTTGCCAACAAGAAGTCGACCCAACGAAAGGCTCCTACGAGGCGTTCGACAGTCATCTCCTGAGATTCTCGCTAACCTTGCCACCCGACGCCTACCCAATCCCCGGACGCCCAGAAGGACAGGAAACTCGCTGCCCTTTGCCCACCCCAAATCCTGTAACCCTTCCATATTTGAACCTTACCCCCTTTTCCTCCCCCCAAAAAGGGGCCCACGCACTGGAACTACGGGCGGCCTCCAACGTTGAGGTCCACCGTGGTTTCCGCTGCGAGCTGCGGATTCGCCAACCGCTGTCGCTCTGCCTCAAAGAGCCCGTACTCCTGACCTTTGCATGTTAAGGGCTCTTACGAGGAATACAAGAAAAAGATTATGTTGGCAAATTATCAGATCATCCAATCCAGGGATGGGGGTACTACTTCAAAAAACGGAGAATCCTGACCTAAGCATGTGAGTACGGCTCCCTTTAAAGGGGTTACAGGCTGAATCTTGTTTAGGTTTAAGGTTTCCTCAGAAATGACCTCAGCATGTCACACGCTTCTTTTCAGGAAGAATGGATACTAACGGACAACCAAATCGGAAATAATATGGAAAATTCAACCGTGGCGTGTGAGAAGCGCGCTTAGGAAGACGGGACACTCAAATGGAAAAGAAAATGGAAACTTCGATGGGAATTGGAACATGTAGTGGATTGTAGGGAACTGAATGGCCTGCTTTTCCAAGGGTTGAAGCAAGTAAGACAGTATCATTCATATGAGATACTTCACCCCAAAGGAGGATGTGAAATCTTATCCTACTTTGGGGACTGTTGTATCCCCCAAACATACGACTACTTTGTGGATTTAAAGAAGTTTTGTTGAGGGTTTATATGCTTGTTTGGGACGAGGTTGGAGATTAAGGCTTGGGCTTTCAGGCCTCCGGTTTCAGAGATGGCTTTAGGGTTTAGGATTGGGGTGCCCTGTCAGGATTATGTGGCCTATGGGTTTGTTGTGATAAATTGGACCGCAGTCATGATCTCTGGTTTTCCGGAGTGGACACCTGGCTTGAAGACGGCCTGCAATGGTGTTCATTGAGCTTCTGCCTACCCATAGAAAGCCCAAAGCCAGGTTTTTGCGGCGTTGTCTCTGGAAAGAAAAAAACGTCAGCAGCAAAAGCAAGGCCACCTGCTACTTCTGCTTAGCAAGGAATGAGCGAATGGTTTCTTAATGATCCTTATAGTTGTTCCTGCAAATCCTCAATAGGAAGCAGTTTTCAACATCTTTTCTTTCCTACGTAAGACTTGGCCTCCAAAGCAGCAATCCTTGCCCCTCCCCATCACATCCCTGAAGAAATCATGCCGCGCAGGCCTCTCCGCAGGTCCCCCTGCTTCCCAACGAAGGATTTAGGGTTTAGGTCTTAGAATCGTCCTCGGTAGCACTCGACTAGAGTGTCGGGACATGTTTTTCACCCTGCCCTTGGCTAGATCAGCTTTGAAGGGGTTCTGAACCTCCTGCACACCCTGAAAGCCTTGTATCCGAATTGTAGGAACGTCCCAAAAAGATCTTCACTTTGGGTTAGTGCCGCGCGGAATGGGAGGAGTAGGCCCAATCCGAGGCAAGCCACGAAACTTCTCGTACTCGTGCGCAACCCCCCTCCTTCTTTGGGACCCTTCCTGCTCGACCTTGGCACCATTTTGGGGTTTGTCAAGATAGCGGACACCAAAGATCCTCGGGATTCCGGGGGCATATTATAGGAGACATTAAAGGGATTATTGGGGTCCAGGTTAAGGATTCTGTTTGGAGCATTTTACATACACCCGTACTGGAATTTGTGAAGCCAGGGGACAAGCTAGGCACCCATGGACTGCTTGCGTGATGATATGCTTACAGCGATCACTCCAACCCATGCATGGTATGGTCCTGGTTCTTGTTGAGGATGACACGCAATAGTTCTACGGAGTTTCCAGTACCATTCATGCACGTGCGTATATGTATAGAGGCGGAAGATCATTCTTGAACAAAGTCTCTTGGGGCGAGAGAAAGAGAGAGTGAGAGAGAGAGAGTGTCAGGTGCTCAAAAGCAAGGACAACTACGAAAATTGCGCCTCCTGGGCGCTCCATCCCTCTGACCCTTGGCACTTTTCAGATAGCTAAGTTTTGAAGTCATGGAGACTCCACGTCCCCGCGGCCCCTACGATGCTAAATGTTGAGTCATTGAGGGGGCGGTCGGCAAGAACGTCAAACGCTAAAAATCATTTTTAGGCCCGAGCAATATCATGCTTTCCATTGTCTTCCGATTCCCCGATTTTCCTCCTATGCTAAAACCATCTTGGGGTCATACGCCCCAAAACAATGGGACCCCCGAACAGGGAACTTCAAGAATATAGAAGGAAAATACTAAGTGGGAATATGCCTACAAGGGTCGTTTAATCCCTGTCTTATTTCTCCTAATTTCTGGGGATTCCCAGTCAAATCCCTTTGACAGTCAAGCCGAAGCACACGCATGCGCTCCTCGCTGATGCGCTGCCTGGATTCCTCGATGTCCGCCTGTACCTGCCTGCAGACACCAGGGATCTCCGGATTAAGAAACCCTCATGTGGGGGTCAGGGTTTAAGAGGGGTTTGTCATGTCTGAGGCTGAGGCGGGGTTTTACCGCATTGTGTTGGGTGGCTTGTAAAAGGCTAGGCCAGCCAGGAGTGAGTTAAGGGGCAGGCTTCTCAATTGCGAGGACCTTGAGTGATGCTTGGATTATGCAAGGACTACGTACTGAAAGACCATAGGGCGGTACCTCCTAGTCAGTATCTTATAGCGAATATTCTAAGATCACTTCGAGAATCTCCATCTCAGAATGTCAGCAGGCGAGCTTTGATCACTGGGTTGGTATCCTTCCCAACGTTAACATGGAAGCTTAGGGTTTAGGGTCTTGTAGGGGCATAAGAGAGCCCTAGCAGGATGTTATAGTAAAAGGGTGCCAATGCTTCTTGAACTGCGTTCTTCCCTCAAGGAAGCTGAGCTACAGTGTGGTGTGATGGTGTGCCCTAGGGACGCCCTGATCATGATGTTTGCTCGTGCTCTTGCTTATTTCTCCTTCTGTCCCTCCTTGCCTGGTCGCTCCCTCTATCTCTCGCCCTCTGTCCCTGTGTGAAGTTTCAACGCGGGAGGTTCTTTAAATGGGCACAACCCTTCTGGACCCCAATACATCATGATCCTTAAGGGGACTCCCAAAAATGGCGAAACTTTTTTGGAAGCCTCCGATTCTGTGGGGTTTGCAGGTCTTCGAGGGGCAGATGCTAATCTTGCGTAGGGCCTGACCCTTGGTTTGGTTTGGAGTGTAGGGTTTGGGGTGTAGGGTTTAGGGGTTTGGGGACTTGAAGTCTGTGGGATAACTGTAGCTAGCAATTTCAATTACTTGCAGTTTGAATGGGTCAGACCTACCAATTGAGCGCTAATACCAGAAGCTGTATGTAACTGGGATTACAAGAACTCAGCGGCAACGACTATCTAACCCTTTCCCACCATAGTGCTCTGATCGCTGAGAACCCGACATTTTTCCCAACAGTTGCAACAAATGTGCTTGAGAAGCTCAGCAGATCACCAGCCCTTAAACACTCCCCCCCCGACAGGGTGAGACTTCCCACTTCAGCATGACTTAAAATCACCCCAAAAATGTCCTAAATGCCAAGCCACTAGAAAACTTATAAATTAAACCCTGAACCTTATATGAACCCATTATAATAGTTGCCATTTTCTTTTCCATCATCCCAATAGATATCCCCCATTAGGTCCTCCTTGCCTCAGCTGCGTCGCCATCTCATCTTCTGCATGCCGCCGGTCCTCTCGAATCTTCTCAACCTGCCAGACATCAAACCCAGAGTTTCTACCCAATGGAATACAGAATGGAAACTACTATTTAGACTTGCGCTTTTCCTACCCTCAGCCCCTAGCATCCGGTATATATGAGCACATTAGCCATTTCATTGCGCAATGTCTTTGCAATTTGATCCTTCGCTTCAGCCCCGAACACATATCCCTACCTAGCTCACTGCAAAACCCTAGCCCCTGAAGCCTTAACCCCAAATAGTCTAGTTTCCATTCCCCCAATTCCCTATACAACTCCTAGGCAACCCTTATATAATCTATTTCTGCAAGCTTTGGATTTTGGGGGGTCTATAGGAAGCACTGAAGCTCCCTGGGAGCAAAGCGTTTTGCGGTCAGGGGGCCTTTTTTGGCAGAAATTTGTAGCGCTTCCATGACGGAGTGCATGTATCTTTGAGGATTCGATGGTGTGATTATTAAGGTCAATCTTCAAGCCTCTTCTCTGTCATCTTCAAGAAAAACAGCTCCAGCTTTTGGGATAAATCTATTGCACCTGGGAACCCCCTATGTGACCCTATTTCCAATCAATGATAACCAAAGCTGTCTGCTTGCCGGAACCTTGCAGGGTGTTCGAAGTTGAGTCTACCCGGACCTCCCGAATACCCAAAATACTAGCCTATATGCTTTTCATCTTGGAGTTAAGGGCTACAGGCTACCAGTATTCTTGATCGAATTTCAAGTAAAGAATGTTGGCTCCTGCAGGGCGTGTCGTGGGTGGGGGGGTCAACTTGCGGTGTCCTGCAGCTTTCTTGTAAGAACCATTTCTTTCGTTGCACCAAACAAGCATGGAACACGATATATGCACCGCTTGAAATGGGCAGCAGTAATGCTTGCGGGGCCTTCTAGGGTTCCGCGGGAGGATAAGGGAGGGGATGTTGTTACATATCCCCAACACTGAGACAGCATGACTACTCGATATGGAAGTTGGAGCCCATCTGCTGCGAACAAACCTGCCTGCATGATTTTAGAATATGGGCCCACATAGCAGACACCTAGACACGACGCGTACGACCCGCCGCACTGCACGCAAATGACGAAACTGCGATTCAAACTGATTCCCAAGCCTGTGTGCCTGAAAAATCTTCAGACCCTGACGATAAAAGCATACATACCTTATGTAGCAGGTCTAACACTAGTTACTAGTAGCAATAACAATCAACAAAATAATATAGTGCGAATAATAGTAATAATATCACAATGATAATGACAACAGTTTAAACAGCGAACGCACGGAGCTCACTTGTTTCCCATCTTCTGAACGACGGCTGCTTTAACACCAACTCCCAACGAGAAGCCTCGCGCTGCTTCTCCGCTACAAACTGCTGCCATACTGAGAGCTTCTCCTGGTCCCAGGTTCAGTTTTCAGCATTTCTGCGGTTGGGGCTTTAAGATTTCGCATGACTTCGTGATTCTGGCCAAGTTATAAGGCCGAAGTACCTGTGTAGAGGACAAAAAGCACACTCCCTGAATGGCAGACCTTGCATCAGATCCCCAAAGCAAGCTCCAAGCTCGAAATGGCACAGTCGCACCATGTCCAGGAAAGCTCCTCGATGCATGTGAGTATTACAGTCGCAGCAAGAATATATTCGGGCCTTCCAGCCCCCACAGGCGACCCCTAGAAAAAGAGAAGCTCCTGATAGCCAGTACGTTCCCATATGAGCTATAGTCTAAACTCCTAGAATCCCCCTTCATAACTCCGAAAAAATCATCTCTCGCATATCACCCCTTTTAAGGAGTTTAGACTCTAGCTATCTTAAGGGTGAGGAGGAGTTTAATTTAGACTCTAGCTCATCTTATTTGTGAGGATAGCCCCAATGGAGGTCCTCCTCGAAAGCTTGCCGCCCTCGCCTGCAGAGTTCAAAGTCTGGGTGTCTCTTGCCACTGGAAGGTGATAGTTTCCCAGACCCCCAAAGGGATTTACAAATTAGATCCCCTAGAACCATATGAGAAATTATATAAGGATTATATAGGGGTTATTATGGGTCTATATAGGAGATCGAATTTTTAGATCCTCCCAGGGGTCTGGGTTCTTAGCAGAAGGTGCTCCAAACAAGAGATCCAGAACAAGGGGGCCCTTTCGTTGAAATGCCCTAGAACAAGGAATGTTGGTGTGTCGCGATTTGAAGGGCATGTCATTTGTATTGGAGAGAAGGTCCCTGACAATTCTGTTTTAACCTCAGCTTGAAGACTGCTGCGCAAGCTTGCAAGCCTATAGTCACCCTTAAGTAGATAGAATATGGGGTATATGGGGATCTTATTTTATAATATTGGCCATTTCCATATGCTATCTACTTAAGGGGGACTATAAAAACCTGAAGGAGCAGAAAGGGCTCAGGATATCCAATGTCGGGCCGTGGGATTTGGCAGTATAGGAGACCATGTCGTGATACACCGGAGATCGGTTTTTCTTACGGAAGCACTAGAGAAGCTGACTCACAGTGATCCTGAACCTCACGCACCCAGGGAAGACCTTGAAGGAGATCATTAGCAGCTATTTGTTTAATGTTCAGGGTTTAAGGGTTAAGGTTCAGGGTTTAGGATTCGGGGATTTAGGGTTTAATGTTCAGGGTTTAGGATTCAGGGACTTAGGGTTGAAGGTTGAGGGTTTAGGATTCAGGGATTTAGGCTTTAGGATCTAGGGTTCAGGGAGGGTCAACATGTTCTTCCCCTTCCGCCTTACCCTTGTCCTTCTGAAGCTAGCGTACATACTGGTGTTCATTTTAAATCTGTTCACGTTTGATTCCAAAAGCCAATGTCTCTGGATCCTGGACCTTACAAACGGGAACGGAGCGCCACATCGCGGAAAACCTGAAACTATTGTTTCAGCTCTTCCCACATGAATACTGTCATTCTCTTGCATCAACTACATGTGGCTTTACAAAAGGTTTGGGGCCCCCACTGAAAACAGGAAAGAGATGCGGAATGACACTGATCTTCAAGCCCGCATCAGATTTACTTGGCAGACTGCGCGTATACGAAAAAAACAAGTCAGCACCTAGCCAAAACCTCCACTTAGGGGTAGGGGTCCGAAGTCCAAGGTATGTAACGATCATATAATGCCGAAAACGCCAAGCACGATTACTGTTATAGGGGGCCGCAAAGTATTTGAGCTACAGCCTCAATTCCTAGTATCCCCCGTGATATCCCTTATCATACCCCCCCTATATATAATCCCCTATATGAGCTATAGTCTAAACTCCTAGTATCCCCCTTAATAACCCCTATAATAATCCCCTATATAATCCCCTATATAACCCCCCTTCGAGGAGTTTAGATTATAGCTCATATAACCCCCCTTAAGGGGTTTAGACTATAGTTCCTATGATTATTGTTTACTCCGCCCTTAGGGGAGGGGTTTTGGGACCCCCCCAGGGTTCAACCCAAGGGGTTTAGGATTTAGGGTTTGGGTTTGGGGTTTGCTTAGGGTCTAGGATTTAGGGTTTAGGATCCAGGGAATATAATCCTATATGGGGGTTTGATAGAATTTGGGGTTTGCTTAGGGTCTAGGATTTAGGGTTTAGGATCCAGGGAATATAATCCCTATATGGGGGTTTGATAGAATTAGGGGTACCATTTTGGGGGCCCCCTAAGAAAATCATAGTATTTTGGGGTCTATATTGGGGCACCCTAATTTAGTGAAACAAACATATACTCCCTATATACGATATTCCTTTAATGAAAGAACCCTATGAACCGGTAAGGAAATGGGACTGGCTAATACCCTAAACCCTAAAGCCCATATTTCCCTATAATATGTATGGTTATATATATATATAGACATATGGGCCCTCAACCCTAAACCCTAAAACCCTGAAACCCATATTTCCCTATACTATGTATTGTTATATATATACATATGGGCCCTAAACCCTAAACCCCAAAACCCTAAAAGCCATATTTCCCTATATTGTTATATATATATACACATATTAGCCTTAAACCCTAAACCCTAAAACCCTGAAACCTAGATCCCTTCTGCGCCTGACGTCGCTACGGTGCTGCTTCAGCTCGAGCTCGGCTTTTTTCAGCCAGCCCACGAAGCTGCGCCGTAGGTCGCTCACCTGGAGGTCTTGGCAAACCCTCCAACAACCCCTAAGGGTCCAAGGACCCAAATAATAGGGTCCCTTTAAAGGGGTTCTAGGGGGATATATAGGGGTTAGGGTTTACTGTCCAAGGACCCAAATAATAGGGTTTTAGGGCCCAAATACTATACTATTAATTGTATTTGGGACCTAAAACCCTATTATTTGGGTCCTTGGACCTTTAGGCAACTACACAGGGGTCACACAAGGGTTAGATGGGTGGTTGTCAAAATTATGGTCCCTTTTTTGGGTACACTACATATTAGATGCCGTATTATAATAGGGATCCAAAGGGGACCATCATTTTGACAACCACGCGGATACAGGATATGTGGGAATTGTGTAGGGTTTTGGGTGCTCTGGGGTATCTTGAGACTCGTAGATGTCAACGCTAATGCTTCTTGAGCACTTCAGGTGTTGCTTTAATCTCCGGAGCAACTACCAGCACCTGCTGATGAATGCGACCTCTGACGACTTCGAAGCTTACTGTCGATGGTCGTTCGTGCCAGACCTTGTAATAAGCACTTCTGATGCTGATGCCTTTGTGCGTTTGCCCCAATGCTTTTTCTCATGATCTAAAACTATCGCCCCGAGCATCCTGTCATGCTCAGGGAGTCCTCAGGATAGCAGCCTAAATCATCTTCTCCATCTTTGTTGTTTCCTCAAGCCAGCATGACCTCTGAAACGCGGAAACCTCAAACCTGAACCTAAAAAAACCTGCGGGTGGGTCTCTGAAAGCTGGTCAAGTTGACTCCTTTTTGTGGCACGAGCCCTACTCAGTGCCTGCCGGAACGGCCGCAGGATACAGTACTCAGCCCCTTCTACAAAGCTCCAAAAACTAAACCTCAACCCAGCATGAGATCCGGACTGCCAACCCCAAATTCTGAGCCCTCAAATCCTCAACCTGAAACGCCTAAAGCCACAATGCTGGGTCGCAACGTGCTCTTTGGACTCTTTCAAGATCTCTTGCAGGGCGACCAAAAGACAATAGCATGCATTACATGACAGTGTCACATTCACTTTACGTCCGCCTCAGCAAAATAATAGAGGAGGACCTTCAAGTTAACCCCGCAATAACCCTATTCTTCTTATTTCTAGTATTAACACTCTTATTCCTATTGCTACCAATATCATTACTACTATTACTGTTACTTTCGCTTCCCTAGCACTCAAACCCTCACGGGCTGGCACCCCACCCCCTCAACCAAACAAGTTTCTAAACAAGGAACTCTCCAAACCTCTATAGTCCTCCTTAAGTAGATCGAATATGGCTTCGGGTATATGATAATAAGATCGCCATCATATACCCCATATTGTGCCTACTTAGGGTGGACTATAACCCTCTTAATTCTACTTGTAGAACCTGAACTCCAAGCCCCTTTATAGTAGAACTGCAACCTTTAAGACTCCAAATCCTCGAAATCCTTTACTTTACTAGTGCTTGAGGGAGAGTGAAGGAGTGGATCTTCATGGAAACCCGCGTATATATATATATACATATACACCCCTGAACTACTCATGATATTCTCTCCCAGCATCAAGATGCTTGCCTTCGACTCTAAACCCTAAACCCTGAAACCCTATAAACCCTGAATTGTTGCAGGTTGGAAACACCTTAGACCCTAAAAACTAGACCCTGAAACCCTATAAACCCTAAATTGTTGCAGGTTGGAGGCCATCTCTTCGAAGTCAGGATCCGCATCCTCATCGCCTCCCAGCAGACTCGAGGTGCGGTAACTGCCTGCCGGGCTTCAACACAAACAAAGACAAACAACATCAGAATGTGCGTCTATAGAATATTATGTGTCTATAGGAGATATATATATATATATGTATACATTCGCACAAATTCATGATGAGGATAAGTTTTACTTTCGGCCCATGACCCCAGACCTCCCAAAAGTGCTGACAATCGCTAGGGTGGCTTACTGGAGGTTAGTAGGAAATACAGGAATCCATTACATGGAAATTTAGGAAGATGAGAATCTATTGTGTAGGAAAAATACAAGGATATTCCAGCATCGTCAGCTAACCACCAGTGAGGTGGTGGGTGTCCGGGTCACGATCCTCGTAAGTGTTCTCGTTTGCGAGACCTCGGAGAGCCCGGTTGTAGATGACATCGGCTTGATCCCACAGATCTCAATAGTGCCAACAGTGCGGAATGAACGTGTCCTGGTCACGATCCCCATAACTGCCATCGTTGTTGTTGCAGATCCCGAAAATGCCATCAGTCACAGGAATGGTGCAGGTCTCCCACCACCCAAACAAGAGCGGGCGTGGGAAGATCTGATGCTGTCTTACTACACGCTGTAAACAAGTCCAAATCAGTGCTGCTTGCACCAAGAGAAATAACCAATTGCATCATGCTGACAGCTGTTAGATCGTTCTGTGTTAAAAACCACGTGCAGAAGACAGGAGGGAGCAAAGCTCTGCAAGTTCAGGTCTTGATGCCGCAGAGTGACAAGCAACTACAATAAGGCTGACGGTTCCAGCAGAGACTGCGAACAGTCCTTGAAGAAAGACAACCACCCACACTGCAAAATGGAGGGGCAGATCTGAACGACCTCAACAAAACAGGACAGTTTTTGAAGGAAGGCAATTACCCACACCGCAGGGGGGAGGGCACAGATCTTAATGACCTCAACAAGGAAAGGGTGGTGACAGTTCTAGCAAGAAGAACACTCGCCACAGCACTAAAGTATTTGGGGGAGGGAGGGAAGGCGACTCGGGGCGTCTTATATTTGTGTATATCCTCGTGTCTGTCTGTCTATCTGCAAGTGTATACACCTACAAATAAGATGTATGCGTGTATTTGTGTGTATTTTATGTATGTATGTATGTATGTATGTATTTGTGTATGTATGCAAACACAGATACGGGTACCGTTTTGTTCTCAGGAATATGATGGGATAGTAGGTTCAGTATTTAAAGAAACCAGAAAGGCATCTGTATCAGTGATGTCAGCAGTCTAAACATTACTAGGGTCAGTAAGGCACCCGGGCTTGGTTTTATGGGTGGATGCTGGATTGCAGAATGTTGCAGGGCTTCTTTGTAGATGAAATGCTCTAGTAGGTGAACTTTATATAGCATGTGATGCTCGTATCCCAGTAATGCCCAGCTGGCGATGGCAAACAGGCGTACAACGTCTTGATTAAGTGATGCCTGCGCGTGTCATCAAGCAAACATAGTGTTTCCCGATGGAGCCCAATACCCCTGAATTGAGAAATTTTCCTCAAGTCATGGTAGGGATCCTCATATCCAGAAGGTATACTTATGGTATACTTCCTGGAGAGGGACCTTGCATACTCCTGACCAATCACTCCCGCAACATATCCCATCCGTGGATGCCACTTTAGCACGTAAACCCTGCACCCTAAACCCCTAGTTGGTATGAAGCTACTAACTTGACGGCGTTTGGGCTGAAGGCTCTAAGGATTATAATTATGTAGGATTGAAATAACAAGGAGTGTGCCGGGGTACGTAGGGCCCATCAGGGCTTAGATCTGGGAGAAACAAGAAGATCAGTAGATTTGCGCTTTCAGGAGTTCCTTGGACTTAACGATGTAAGGCTTTCGACTGCTCCTCTCCTCTGCACCAGTGCAAGGTGCAGTACGGAGAGCACTCAGGGCTCTGGTTGTAGGGCTTCATGGAGAAGAAAACTCAAAACGAGTCTGCAACCCGATTGCCCCAGGTTGCACTTAGTTGTACTTCCACGCCTGGGAGAATTGGCTCTCCCGAGTGCAGCGGTGATGGGGACTGTGCAGCCTCAGTTCGGTGATAGAGGTTTCTCGGAATTAGGGGTACCATTTTGGGGCTTCAGTAACAAGAAGAAGGATTATGGGATGATTATCGTATTTGGGGGTTTAGGCTCGAACATGCAAAACGTTTAGCATATTCCTCAAATTCCGCATACACCCCAGACGGATCTGGGACTCCAAGGGAACACGGGAAAGGAAGGGGCTCATAGCGTGCCGTGCAGCACTTCAAGAAGAACACAAAAGCCCTAATAGCTTAAGCTTTAATCCGTGCATGAAGACACCCTCGTATGAGCTTTAGTCTAAACTCCAAGTATACCCTTATGCTCTAAACCCTGTGCTATTAAATTGCTCATTTGCTGCTAAGGAACTTGAATTAAGCGACCATGAGATAAGTACATATTTCGGTTTCCGAATATAACCGTTGCTTACTTGAGCTTCCGTGAATGCAGCGCAGATTGTTGCTCGGGCCTAGATCTCTCTTGAATCCCAGGCCCAAGAATTACACTGCTTCTGGCTCTGTCACACACCCTGACCGCTTATGCAAAGCCAAGAACCTTAAACCCTAAAACACCAAAGCTTGAACCCCTGAACCCCAAAATCAAAAACCCTAGAGCCTTAAGCCCCTGAACCCTTCAACCCCTGACCCCTTCAAATCCAAAAACCCCTAAACCCTAAACCCTAAACTCTGAACCCTAAACGCCAAACTCTAAACCCTAAACCCACCCAGAAGCAGGGGAGGTAAACAGCCGCGACGAAGGCGATCCCGCGGGCGCCGCCGGCGCGGTGGCCGGAACACTGCGGCCCGGGGCCTACCAGTGTAGGGTAGGGATTTAGGGATTTAGGGATTTAGGGGTTTAAGGTTTTACGGATCTAGGGGTTGAGGGTTTAGGGGTTTCGGGGCTTACGAGGTTTAGGGCTTAGGGTTTAGGTTCACTGGTCAGGACTCAGGGTTGAGGGTTCAGGGTTCGGGGCCTAGGGTCAAGGTTTGGGTTTTGGGTCTATAGTCCAGGGTTGGGTTTTGGGTTGGTTTGAAGGTTTTGAATTTAGGGTTTAAGGTTGATGTAGCTAAGTAAGGCTAAAGGGGTATCAGAAAGGTACCCTAAACCCTAAACCATGGGGATATGCGGGATCTCCAAGTCTAACTTAGGAGGCTAAACGCTGGACAATGAGCACGGGTTCAGGGTTTAGGCTGCTTTGTTTAGGTTTCAGGTTGAAGGGGCCTAAAAATACTAGAGCAGTGGAGAGGCACGTGGGAAGGTAGATGGTGGAGATGTGTTTACATAGAATTTATAGGGATGGTACCCTAGGGGTTCATTTAACCAGAAAAGGGTTTGGGGGTATGTGATACTCAAACTCGAACAGAGTAAGGTGAATAAGTGAGTAATGTTTTAGGGGACCTTCTTCCTTCTTGCTGCAATCGGAAAGCCTCACGTGCTAGGTCCCAGGACGCCACTCAGTGTCCAGAGGGTTCAGTGGGATTTAAGGCAAGATGGTGATGTAAAAGCTTCTGAGGTCTGAGGGCATCCAACGAGCCCACTGCACCTTAATTACGGTATACACCATATCCATCGTCCATTAACAACCCCTGTACTACTCCCCTATATAACCCCCTGTATCGAGTTTAGACTACAGCGCTCATGACCCAAAGTATGTTCCTAAGCCCGTCAACTGTAAACCTTCAAGGACTCCCTGAGTATTGGCTTTCAAGGTTAGGGATTGAGGCCCCAGCGTGCTCACCTGCACATTAGAACCCAAGAGCCCGCAACTAATCCTAGAACCTCATATCCTAACACCCCCGCAAAAGAGCCTAATTAACCCAATCGCAACCCTTCATTCGATGACCCTGGCGCCAGCCTGGTGGGCATAGCCGTTGCCCAAATTGCCGTAGGTGGCCGCCATTCTTTGAGCCAACGTTGAAGGCCCAGGCGAGACATGCACGGTCAATGCTGAAGGAGGCATGAAGATCAAAACGTGAGCGCGATGAATGTGCGAAGGGTAAGGTAACCTAGTATTGCCCTTAATAACCCCTATAGTAGTCCCCTATATAATCTCCTATACCATCCTCTATTTAAGCCCCTTTTAGGAGTTCAGACTATAGTACCAATGGGCCTGCTGAGAAGAGTACTGCCCATGCGAGCGCATGGTTCGGAATTTCAACAGAAAACCGTCGTGGTCATCGCATCAAGGTGAAGGTTTCCCATAATTAGGGGTACCCTTTTGGGGGTTCCCATAATATAAGGTTTATAGTATATTGGGGTCTATATTTGGGTACCCCCATTTTGAGAAACTACCATATCTTGAAATGAGGGGCCACCATTGTGCACGGACTTTACATTCTTGTAAAGAGCTCTCTTTTTCGAAGATCGGCCAGCAAGCAAACTGCCGCAAGCTGAGACCTCCTCGTAGAATTCAAAGCTTGGATCTCGTAAATGGAAGTTTCGGATATTAGGGTTTAGGGTTAAGAAGGATTAAGAAGGATGATAACTTGGGCGCGTGGGAGGAAGCCCCCCTTTTTTGGCAATGCCCAAGTCAGCCAGATGCTGTATTCTTCCCAAGGTACAGATATCATATAACATTATTGAGGGGGACCACCCTGCATGACCTAGGGCCCCTAAACTAACTACTTCTGTGTAGAAGATGGATGTTGCAGAGGGTGGTGCCGCTCTTCTTTCGTGAAAAGCCGGATGATCTTAGGGGACTTCTGTTTCAAGGAACCCCCTAAGCCATAAAAACCTAAACTCTGAGCGCGGAAACCTAAACCCTAAACACCAAAAACCTAAACCCCAAATCCGGAAACCTAAACCCTAAACCCTAAAAACCATCAACGTCTGAGAGGCTCTCCTTCACTTTATCCAAGTGCCACTTCCCAGGGCCTGCCACTCGGTAGTAATCCCCTTTTTGGGGTAAAAACATGTAAGGAG